GTGCCCATTGCAGCCCCATTGCACCCTCGTTATGTGCCCGTTGTGTGCCCACTGCACCCCAACTGTGAGCTCACTGTGTACCTATTGCCTGCCTGTTGCAATCCTGTTCCACCCCCACTGCGTGTCCACCGTTCCCCCGTTGCACGCTCACTGCGCCCCCGTCGCGCGCCTGCTGCGCGCCCTGCAGCTTTGCAACGTTCAGGGTGCACCTTTGCAACGTTCAGGTTGCAGCTTTGCAACGTTCAGGGTGCACCTTTGCAACGTTCAGGTTGCAGCTTTGCAACGTTCAGGGTGCACCTTTGCAACGTTCAGGTTGCAGCTTTGCAACGTTCAGGGTGCACCTTTGCAACGTTCAGGTTGCAGCTTTGCAACGTTCAGGGTGCACCTTTGCAACGTTCAGGTTGCAGCTTTGCAACGTTCAGGGTGCACCTTTGCAACGTTCAGGTTGCAGCTTTGCAACGTTCAGGGTGCACCTTTGCAACGTTCAGGTTGCAGCTTTGCAACGTTCAGGGTGCACCTTTGCAACGTTCAGGTTGCAGCTTTGCAACGTTCAGGGTGCACCTTTGCAACGTTCAGGTTGCAGCTTTGCAACGTTCAGGGTGCACCTTTGCAACGTTCAGGTTGCAGCTTTGCAACGTTCAGGGTGCACCTTTGCAACGTTCAGGTTGCAGCTTTGCAACGTTCAGGGTGCACCTTTGCAACGTTCAGGTTGCAGCTTTGCAACGTTCAGGGTGCACCTTTGCAACGTTCAGGTTGCAGCTTTGCAACGTTCAGGGTGCACCTTTGCAACGTTCAGGTTGCAGCTTTGCAACGTTCAGGGTGCACCTTTGCAACGTTCAGGTTGCAGCTTTGCAACGTTCAGGGTGCACCTTTGCAACGTTCAGGTTGCAGCTTTGCAACGTTCAGGGTGCACCTTTGCAACGTTCAGGTTGCAGCTTTGCAACGTTCAGGGTGCACCTTTGCAACGTTCAGGTTGCAGCTTTGCAACGTTCAGGGTGCACCTTTGCAACGTTCAGGTTGCAGCTTTGCAACGTTCAGGGTGCACCTTTGCAACGTTCAGGTTGCAGCTTTGCAACGTTCAGGGTGCACCTTTGCAACGTTCAGGTTGCAGCTTTGCAACGTTCAGGGTGCACCTTTGCAACGTTCAGGTTGCAGCTTTGCAACGTTCAGGGTGCACCTTTGCAACGTTCAGGTTGCAGCTTTGCAACGTTCAGGGTGCACCTTTGCAACGTTCAGGTTGCAGCTTTGCAACGTTCAGGGTGCACCTTTGCAACGTTCAGGTTGCAGCTTTGCAACGTTCAGGGTGCACCTTTGCAACGTTCAGGTTGCAGCTTTGCAACGTTCAGGGTGCACCTTTGCAACGTTCAGGTTGCAGCTTTGCAACGTTCAGGGTGCACCTTTGCAACGTTCAGGTTGCAGCTTTGCAACGTTCAGGGTGCACCTTTGCAACGTTCAGGTTGCAGCTTTGCAACGTTCAGGGTGCACCTTTGCAACGTTCAGGTTGCAGCTTTGCAACGTTCAGGGTGCACCTTTGCAACGTTCAGGTTGCAGCTTTGCAACGTTCAGGGTGCACCTTTGCAACGTTCAGGTTGCAGCTTTGCAACGTTCAGGGTGCACCTTTGCAACGTTCAGGTTGCAGCTTTGCAACGTTCAGGGTGCACCTTTGCAACGTTCAGGTTGCAGCTTTGCAACGTTCAGGGTGCACCTTTGCAACGTTCAGGTTGCAGCTTTGCAACGTTCAGGGTGCACCTTTGCAACGTTCAGGTTGCAGCTTTGCAACGTTCAGGGTGCACCTTTGCAACGTTCAGGTTGCAGCTTTGCAACGTTCAGGGTGCACCTTTGCAACGTTCAGGTTGCAGCTTTGCAACGTTCAGGGTGCACCTTTGCAACGTTCAGGTTGCAGCTTTGCAACGTTCAGGGTGCACCTTTGCAACGTTCAGGTTGCAGCTTTGCAACGTTCAGGGTGCACCTTTGCAACGTTCAGGTTGCAGCTTTGCAACGTTCAGGGTGCACCTTTGCAACGTTCAGGTTGCAGCTTTGCAACGTTCAGGGTGCACCTTTGCAACGTTCAGGTTGCAGCTTTGCAACGTTCAGGGTGCACCTTTGCAACGTTCAGGTTGCAGCTTTGCAACGTTCAGGGTGCACCTTTGCAACGTTCAGGTTGCAGCTTTGCAACGTTCAGGGTGCACCTTTGCAACGTTCAGGTTGCAGCTTTGCAACGTTCAGGGTGCACCTTTGCAACGTTCAGGTTGCAGCTTTGCAACGTTCAGGGTGCACCTTTGCAACGTTCAGGTTGCAGCTTTGCAACGTTCAGGGTGCACCTTTGCAACGTTCAGGTTGCAGCTTTGCAACGTTCAGGGTGCACCTTTGCAACGTTCAGGTTGCAGCTTTGCAACGTTCAGGGTGCACCTTTGCAACGTTCAGGTTGCAGCTTTGCAACGTTCAGGGTGCACCTTTGCAACGTTCAGGTTGCAGCTTTGCAACGTTCAGGGTGCACCTTTGCAACGTTCAGGTTGCAGCTTTGCAACGTTCAGGGTGCACCTTTGCAACGTTCAGGTTGCAGCTTTGCAACGTTCAGGGTGCACCTTTGCAACGTTCAGGTTGCAGCTTTGCAACGTTCAGGGTGCACCTTTGCAACGTTCAGGTTGCAGCTTTGCAACGTTCAGGGTGCACCTTTGCAACGTTCAGGTTGCAGCTTTGCAACGTTCAGGGTGCACCTTTGCAACGTTCAGGTTGCAGCTTTGCAACGTTCAGGGTGCACCTTTGCAACGTTCAGGTTGCAGCTTTGCAACGTTCAGGGTGCACCTTTGCAACGTTCAGGTTGCAGCTTTGCAACGTTCAGGGTGCACCTTTGCAACGTTCAGGTTGCAGCTTTGCAACGTTCAGGGTGCACCTTTGCAACGTTCAGGTTGCAGCTTTGCAACGTTCAGGGTGCACCTTTGCAACGTTCAGGTTGCAGCTTTGCAACGTTCAGGGTGCACCTTTGCAACGTTCAGGTTGCAGCTTTGCAACGTTCAGGGTGCACCTTTGCAACGTTCAGGTTGCAGCTTTGCAACGTTCAGGGTGCACCTTTGCAACGTTCAGGTTGCAGCTTTGCAACGTTCAGGGTGCACCTTTGCAACGTTCAGGTTGCAGCTTTGCAACGTTCGGGGTGCACCTTTGCAACGTTCAGGTTGCAGCTTTGCAACGTTCAGGGTGCACCTTTGCAAGGTTCAGGTTGCAACTTTGCAACGTTCAGGATGCGACTTCACGATTTCTACAGTACTGTGATGCAGCTCGGCAATTTAAGTACTGCCCGGATGCAACCTTGCCGTATGCAGCTTTGCAGGGCTTAGGATCATCGCGATGCTATTTAGCAATAGTCAGGGTGCAGCTTTGCAGGGTTGGGAACCATCGCGATGCAATCCCACATTATTCAAGGTGCAACCTTGCAATATGTACAACGCTGTGATGCAGCCTTGCAATTAAAGCGCTGCCCGCATGCAGCCTTGCCGTATTCGGGATGCACCTTTGCAATACGGACAATGCTGCGGCACAGCTCTGCAGCGTTTGGGGCGCGACTTGGCAGTGCGCATACAGCCAGGGTGCAACCTGGCCGTGTTCAGGACGCAGCGGCACCGCAATTCTTAACGCTGCGATGCGGCTTTGCAATACTCAACATGCAACTCTGCAGTGCAGGCGCAGCCGGGACGTAGCTTTGTGGTGCTTATAACGCTGCGATGCGACGTCGTGGCGTTCAGGGTGCAGCTTTGCAACGTATATCCTGCCAGGATGCAAGTTTGCAACGTGCAGGATGCAGCTTTGCAACAGTTGGGGCGCAACTCCGCAGCGTGCGTGCCAGCGGGCTGCAGCGCTGCAATATTTTGGTGGCGAGGGGGATGCCGTGGCCTCGGCGGGGAGCCGGGCGGCGAGGACGCGAACTCGCTCGCGGCATCGGGCCGGGAAGGGTCGCGTTGACGGGGGCGTTTTTGTGCTCCGCAGAGCCCGTGGCAGCGGCTGGTGAAGCGAA